GAAAGGAGACCTAAGTCAATGTAATAACTAGTGCTGTATTATGCTCCTGTCCATCCCAAGCAAAATACTAAGCCGTATCATTTTGGAGAGAATCAAACACTCCTTAGATGAAAAACTTCGACCGGAACAGACTGGATTCAGGAGAAACAAATCATGTATCGATCAAATCTCCACACTACGGATCATCATTGAACAGAGCGTGGAATATCAGTCATCTACCTACCTCAACTTCATTGACTTTGAAAAGGCCTTCAGCAGAAAGCGTCGATTGAGAGTTGATTTGGCAACAACTGAGTGCCACCAACAATTAAACACCTCATCCAACAGTTGTACTACAATGCTGCGTGCCAAGTAATCCACAACAGTAAACTCGCGGTGAGTTGGTCGTCCAAGCAGGTCATATGAAGAGGTAATGAAAGCATGTGAGCAGACGTGGAGTCAGATGAAAATGTTGGCAGAGAAATGAACGCGGCTGAAGCCCTATGTTCCTCAAGGAACTAAAGGAAACAATAATAATATAATGAACGTGGTGTGGGGTTTCACCCTCCCATACGACATTCTTCTAGCCCAACCCCACCCCGAAGTTCATTATTTGATAATAAACTCGCATAACAGAAGATTAGGAGTAAGGCTAGGAAACTAACTCACTGAGAAAGAAAACACCATAGCTATCAAAAATTGAGGGCTCCAAGACTGAAGCTTTGTGTTCGACTAGGCAAACAAAGGCATGGAAAAGTTTTCAACCAGTTAAAGTCAAAAGTGGCTCTTATTAATGAGTTTAATCAGTATCCATCCACCTTATGAGTTTCTTTGCTTTATGTATAGCCGGAGTAAGGTAGATAGACAGAGAGATTAAACATACACATATATATATTCTTTGAATTTCTAATTAATTATAAATTTCGTTGTCTTGTTTTTTAATTAATCAAAAGCTATGACTGATGCTATTTAGGTACAGAGAGCTTCAAATTACTCTGTCTCTACAGAAGTGGTTCATATCAATCCAGGGGTTAAATTCAATGCTACGCTAGTCTAAGTATAATAATAGTGATAGTCTAAAATAAAGATGGCAGTAATAGGACAAGAAGAAAGAACACTTTTGACTTCCTTTAATTCCTGAGTACTTCTGGAGATGAAAACGTCAGCAAGCATTGTAGGGTTTGTGTGTGTATGCAAGTGTATGAAAGAGGGATCGACAGCCGGGAAGAAAGCAAGATATGATAAAAAAAAACATTCAAAAAGAAAGTAATAAACGGAAAAATATAGTTTTGTTATTAAGTTTATTTATTTTTAAAATTTTTTTTGCATATAATTATTCCTCAACTAAATGAGAGGCAAAGCAATTCAAAAAAAAGAAAAGTGCGAGGAATCCAGCAGGACAGAGAGATGGAAAGAGTCACGAGTTAAGCAAAATAATTAATTAAGAGGTAAATCTTTTCATCTTCCAGTTGAATTTTCTCTAATTATGCATTTTGTATTTTGATGAGTTGCAGTTTTTGTGTGTACTTCGGCTTATTATATCAATTAAACAAAATCAGTGTTCAATAGGGATGTTTTTTGTTTTAAATGGAAGAAAGACATTGAAATTTGTCAGAAGGAGACTTTTCAGCGAAGGAGAGAGAGAGAGTGGAGGTAGACAGAATGTATTAAAAAAGTGGTAGATGGTAGTTGGCAGTAGACATAAATCAGCTGTGAAGTTCCAATCACTCAGTGTCTTTCCATCGGTCCAACGTACGAGCATCTTCTAGCTCCCGATGATCGGCTGTATGGTCCCGTATACTACAGTCAGGAATATTATTGGTGATAATAGGTGTTCTTATCTTCCTCCTGTGTGTAATTCAAAGGCTTCACTGGACTTGTCTTTGTGGTATGTGACATCATCATCTAGTTGTTCACTTAGGTTAATTAAGGTATAGAGAACTCTGTAGTATTGATTACTTCAGGGCGAGCAGTATCTATGACCTTTTCGTAGTCGATAAATTTGAAGTAAAGCTTTGACTGTCTACCTATCTTTGTTGTGTTCTGTTATAACGGGATTTAGTGTAAACATGGCGAAGAGAAAGATGATGAAGATATCCGATGACCACCACCACCACCAACAACAACAACAACAACAGGCACCAGCCTCAACCAATAGGAAAGATCTCATGGAAGTCATTTCTTTCACTTATCCAGGCAACATCGTTTGATTTACAGGCGGAATGAATGAGGATGTTAAAGCCGGGATAGGAAAAGCAAAACAAATCAGCACGTAAGTCTACAAGACTCAGCTTAAGGGGCAAGATTAGTATGTTTAACACAGGCGCGCGCGTCACCTAAAGCATTTTCAATAGGCTACTTCGAAACTGCATTAACAGCTGCCTTCGCTTGACAATGGAGACCAGATGGCTGACCAGCCAGATAGGACAAGACACAAGTAACTCTGGCAAGAAACAAACTAAGAACCTATTGAAGTTAATACTTTTCTGAAGAGCATAGGTTGTTTGAATAGTAATGTGATTGATTGAAAACTGGGCGAATATCAGGCGTATAATATTAAAAGGCTTCAAATTAACTGAATTTTAATAAATTCTGTTAGAAGATGTCAAAATCTTAATTTTCGCAAACTGTTTAGTGATATTTCAGTCGATCTACATAGTTTCTGTTGTATACTTAGTCCGTATGTAGGTTACACGAGTTGGATTGACTACTTCTCATCCTGGCAGATTCAAACCTATAAATAAACATTTTTTTCAAGTATTGGTTTGTAAGGATTTGATTAATTGGTTACAGGATTTCATTATGAGGTGGCTTGGTTGGAGAACCATTAAAACCAACTGAGTGTACTGGACAGCTGTTTCGTCGTAGTATGTATGGAACACTTCGGCAGTAGGCATCCGCCAGGGTTCAAAATCACGGCCTTCTGGTTACAAGTTCAGTGAACTCGTAGACCACTAAGCCACTGGGACCCGATCCGATGGCCAGCTTATCAATTCTAACTTCTGCAAATCCACGACACAGCGCAACCACTATAGGTACCTGCTGTTGAATAGTCCAAAACTAGGACGAAATAGGTGTTCAGTACTCCCGGATGGTTTCCCAATGGTTTTTTAACCGATTTCAGCTCATTATGAAATACTATAACCAAATATTTTTTATACCTTGTGTTCGAATGGAGTGCATCGGGTTCCAAGCTTGGAATGAGTTGGAGTTCTTAGGCTAATACCTAATGGCTAACTTTTTCGTCGCTTACTGTCAGATAGTAAAGTAAGCAAGGTTTAAAGGTGCATCAAGAGAGAATCAAGTAACTAATCACCAGGCTTTCTATCAGTGTATAGAAATGCACAATTTTGAAATGGTTGCCAACACTCAGCCATTTTTTACACATTTTAAAAGCCTACATATAGTCAGGCTTGATGTAACCGACCTAATAATAGTATTCATCAGGCGTATAATATTCATCTTGGCGAGAAGATATGAAGGTAATCAATACTGATTGATGTCTGAGGTATTTACCTACCTAATCTTGAGTAAACGTGTTCAACGTTAAACGTTGATTCTAGTATTTCATATATTTGTGAATGTTCAGAAACATATCTCAAGAGACACACACATATATTATCTGCATTCATTTCCTTATAAAACAAATCAGACTAATGAATATGCAATGATAAACTAAATAATATTTTGAGTCTATAGTTCATCTAAGCAATTATCCATTAACGTTTAGGCAAACAAACAATTGGTGTTTTTGGTTAGCTGTTGTTAGACTGTCAGTTGTAGTCAGGATAGAACTCAATCACCTGTATATCAGTGAGGTAACTATGGTAAAAGTAAACTGTTTAGTTCAAAAAATATCAACTGAACAATCAATAAAAATCAAGGAATATTAGACATGTTTTTCTCCTCTTGCTTCAGAATATGTCAAAAATGAAAGATGCCTGAAAAGACTGCAAAGCTTAGAGGTGAACTGTTCACTGCTCATCAACAAATCATTATTCGGAATCTAAATAAATCAGAATAGTCAACTTTTATGTACTGTCAAAATAACACATCAACAGAAATTCCCACGAAATACTGGTACTCTTGAAGATAGAACACTTAAGAGTTTTATTTTTTGTTGGGTCTCAGAGATATTTTCCAGTGTTATTAAGAACTTTTGTTGTTGTTATTAAGTCTGACTATATCTGAAGTGAATCAGTGTCGGCTAGTTAGACCTCTGGAGGTCATGTCATGCGATGTTCCAGGATATTAGTGATGCTAGTAACCAGTGGAAATAATCTCTCATCGTACAGAAGCTGTCACTTGAGTTTATGATTAAAACAACGCTAATAAATTGTTAGTGGATTCAGGGTCCATCACCAAGGTTGCTGAATACCCGTTGATGTTTTTTTAGGGAAATCGTGTCACTGATTTGCAAAGTTTTTCATATTTCTGACTGACTAGTTAGCGTTAGCAAAAACCATCTGATAAGCCTTTCAAGACAAATAATCAGTTCAAGATAGATTTCGTAACAGACAGATACAATTTAGAGAACCTTTGAAACTCAGGAGATATTTGGTAGCTGATTTTTCTAGTTTAAGGGTTATTCAGAGGCAAGCAGCCATGATGAAATTAAGTGTCACACCTTGAGCACACACACCATTGAAGCACTCTTTAAAATTTATTTCAAAGACATTCACTAATAAGCAGTAAAGTAACTCACAGTATTCCCTGAAAGCAATCGAATCACCCCAAACCTTACGCTTGAAAATAGAGATTGAGGGAACTATGGTATTTAGCCGTGGTATTTCTTTGCCGATGTGAAGTTCCTAGCCTCACACTCAACCTTCACTCTTTACTGGGTGAAGTACAGAGATTGAACCACAAACCGGAACTTCAGCCATTCTGCTATTGAACTACAGACTCACAGAACATGCAATACACATAGATAAATGTGGCTACCAACTGGAGACCAAAGAAAAGAACAATATTAAGGTGTGGTTTGGCATTTCAGTATTCGCAAAAGCAATGAAACTTACTTGGAACAGATGCTTTTGAAGCAGAAGTGGACATCATATTTTCATTGAGAATTTCACATGACTTCAATTCACCTATACCATGATTATTGACTTGTTGACCGTTAAACTGTGGTAGCATAAAACGACTGCTTCCGTTAATATAAACTGGATTAGTGTTCCCGTTAGTATTAGAAATTTTATCGCTGTACAGTTTTATACAGTCTGTTGAATATGTTGTATTTGTGTTACTATTATTATTATTGTTATTTGCGGTATTCGGAGTAGTATTACTAAATCCAGTTGATGGTAACCAATAGTAACAAGGTGAGTTGATAAATAACGATGGATCAGGGAGAAGGGAAGCTGCGGCCGCTGCAGCGGCGGCTTTGTTGAAAATCGACTTCCGTAAATGAGCCAAATCATAGTTGTTGACAGTTGTATAGCCAGATGCATTCATACAGTCTGGCATAAAGAAAGGTTGCATTAATAAGTTTTTCATATATTTATTATTTAACAATGATTTTAGATTGAGAGAAGAGAAATCCATTGTACCATGACTATGATTACTCACGTAGCTGTTATTATTATTATTGTTGTTGTACGAAGCATATCGAGATTTTCTTCGATTTGTTGAGAAATTGTGAGGGGAATTCGTGTGTTCCGTATCTCTTGAGGTATAGTTAACCTTTGATCGAGAATATGTACCAGTTGAATTCGATGATGAAGCATTCACTTTCAGTGGTTCATTTGTATTAGCTACTAAAATTGAAGTTGTAACAATAATTGATGTGATCGGTGTGGAACATTCAAAGAGATCAGAAGTCGAGTTCGATTTTATCATTTCTGTTGATTCTTTGTAACCAAGTGGAGAGGAGATTTCACTTTTTATTTCTCTGGTTAATTCATGTATATCGTTAGGGGAAGTGACGCTGATTGATAAATCATTAGAAGCGGGGGATTCAATGTCATCTGTTGATTTACTGTGAAGATCGCAGAGATTATTTTCATGCTGATCAGATTTATTATTTGATAGTTTAGTAAACAGTTCTGTTCTTTTATGATTTGCTTTAAGTGGACTCCTGTAAAACAAAAGTAAATAAATGACATTCATATTGTGACCAGTTTCTTTAGAACATTTTAATTTATGACAAGTGGAATGAATTCATAGAAGTCGAAAGTTTTCTGAGCATAATTCACAACAAACGCCGTTTCAGCGGTGTAGCGTCCTCGCTCCAGTGTTAAGCCCCATGATATTTTCTTCAATATTGGGGTCATGCGTAGATTTTCATGTAGGTACGATAAGTCAACCGATGACATTGTTAAGCTGTATCAGTTAGGATGGCCATGTTACGTGTTACGTATGCCAAACCATTACCTTCCTCATTTTAGCTAACAGGGGAATAGGTCGTAAAGGAGTTAGAAGGGAAAAGTCTAGAATCAGCCCATGAGGCTTTTGGCAGTTGGTTTGAGCTACATAGTTCTAGGCCACTTGGTTGTAGCCTTTGAGATGCTAAGAACCAACAGCTTAAAACTGCCAGTTATATGGCTCGAAATACGGATGCACTAGCTGTTTGTGATCTCCGATAGTGTTTAAACCCTCTTTTTCTGTGTTACTTTTTCTCTCCCATACATTTCTTCCCAAAAAATTTCTTTTGAATCTTATTTATCCCTTCTTTCTCTAGCTTTGTGTACCATATGGCGTGTAGCAAGTTGAGCTGTTGCATTTCTGTGCAAAGTTATGGTAAAACTCAGTTGTTCAGTCAGTTACTGCAGGAGATTTTACACAAACAGGGGTAAATTTTAGTCATCGCCACCAATAGTTAACTAAGCAATGTATTAAGTTTTGATTCTTGGCTAACGTACTCTCAAACCTCGCCTAGTCTACTAGCCGACATGAGGTTCAGTGAGAGGGAGTGACCTCCAGATCTGTAAAAACGAAACCACTGCTGCTATTCGTTTCAGTTAGAACTCAAGGAAAAATGTAGGTGGAAATTACGTGTGAGCAGTACTAGATAACTGATCTATTAATCAATAGTGACCTCGTTGTAATGAAATTTACTGACTGTCTTACTTATACGAACCAATATAGGCTTTTTCATACAATTGTCTTTAAGGTGACTGTCTGCCTGATAAGATATTAGAAGAGTGGCTTTCTGATTAGTGACGGAATAATGATAACACGCAACACATAAGCTACACATTAAAACGAGATAAAAAAATTCACTGCATAGAGTGAGAGTATTTGATGATATGCGGGCCGACGCTGGTGTAAGGGGAGACAATTGAAAGTGAAGCGATGACCTGGTTAGTAGCTGAGTTTTCTAATTCAGTTAGCCGAGAGCCGTTGATTCGACTTCAGGATTATACTTCACATTTACCTTTACTTAATTGATTAACCGAATTTTGATATCCATTCATTAAGCCATCACGATAAAAGTAACCAAATGGTCAACCCAGTCCAGAAATATTAACGGATGAAGAAATGATATGAGTTGATATTCGCTTCACACCAATATGGCACACATAGCTCTGTAGTCTGACGAATAACACTTAGACACTGGGAATGATTACGCTGTAGAATCACTTGGTGAGGTGCAAGGTGTGTTTGTGGCTCAAAGGTAGAGTGCTCTACAGCCATAAAAGTGGATGGGTTCTGACTCCCGGCCGATGCCCTCCCAAATCACACCTATCTGTTAGTAAGTCAGGCGAGTAGAGCACGATATTGGCGACCTCACCTCGTAAACCCCCCCCACTGCTTTTGAAACGTCAAAGCTTAGAGTTTGAAGCCCTGAGATGTTTTTTTACACCTCAAAGGAGTGGAGAAAAATCAGGTTCAGCTGGATTCAAATGACAGCCCCCAAACCGGATGCAAGGAGTGCCATGAACGCCATGGACATTCGCCAAAAATGTTTCAATAAAGATGTTTGTGACATCAGTTCTATACACCTTATTTTTTGCGAAAAAAGCTCCACAGAAAAACATAAAGAGCAGAATCTTATATTCATGGAATATTTTCATACCTTATTTGAATTTCTGATGACAGAGTGGAGTCATCTATAGCAGTTACATCTGATGCATTGTGTTTACTTCGACTAACAGATCTGGGTGAGGTTGATGCTGATGATGATGATAAATTTGGGGATGGCATAAATGAAGAATCTGGTGTTGTCGACTGTTGACTGTCTTCTGTAGAAAGTATAGGATTTGATCTAGTCTTGATACTATCAGTAGGAATAGACTGTTCTTGAAAAGTTAAATTGCTGTCTGTAGACTTTGAGTTAGACTTTGGCAGGTATGATACATCAGAAGAATGCTGACTATTTGCTTTTGATGCAGCCAGAGAATATGAATTAGTTGAAGATGACGTGCTTGTTTCACAACCAGTTGATAAATTATTATGAAGTTTCTATGTGGAAAACAAGAAAGAAAAGCAGATTGTTGAATCATTTTAAATCAAATTTGAATTTGGCGAACATGTATGTTACTAAATATTTGACATGAGACTTTTAAGCATATCATTTGTCATTAATGTTGTCCTATGTTTATCGTCAGGAAGTCATATCGATTACCAACAGTCAGCAAGGAGTATCTGAAGTCTCGAAGGGAGATTCAAATATGTATTACCTACCGATGCAGTCAGGAAACTTACCAGTGAGCTATTCTACCACAGGACTGACCTGTTCTAGGATTTTTATGAATAAATTGATTGGTGACTACGAAGTAATATGTATCCTAAATCTAGTTCTTAGAGTTGTTCATGACTAAACCGTATAAAAGCCAGGTTTGAAATGTGGCCGTGAAGCTAGATTACTTGTTATCAGCATTAAGATTTAAAGAATGATCAGACAGACGAATTTAGACAAATATTAAGTATGCTACCTTAATACATTGAGGGATATTGATTTCTCAACCTGTGACTAACCATGAACATTTATGGTAGATTGAAGATTTTCGACTTTATTCTACCTGAAGTTTTTTTTAGCTTCGTAGTGATGATTAGAGATTTATTTACCCATGTGACATATCAGCTTATGTGTTGATTCTTTTCCACTACTTTTCCGGGTTGACGTTGAAATTTATGAAGAAATGTTATTTGAAGAGGATCAACCTATTAGAAAGCTAACAGACGAATTATTATGTTTTTATAGTTAGCTCTATTTGTGTGCAAACACACTATAAATTAATAAAGGAAGTGTTATTTAGGGCTTAGGTGAGTAGTTCTCACTTCATGTTGAATCTTGGAAGCTTTATCACTAGACTATAATATGCTTTATGTATAAATGTCACCTTAGCGTACACTGAGCAAACAGAACTTCATATAAGTCGCCGTATGGCCAACGGTGAGAACTCACCAGCGACTTCGAAGGTATATCATTCGTAAGATTACTGGACCTGATGTGTAATCTACATAAAAAGCTGTTTATTTCTCACAGAAATTAACATCATAATGGTGAAAAGCATTAAAGATGATACTTAACCCTGATGTAACTGAAAAATAGTGATGTCATCAACCCATTGTTCAAACAGTACTTAAGAACAAGATCATGATGAAATTTCCACCTTAATTCCTGCACAGCATTCATAGTAGCGCTGTACTAGCGGTAGGTTATGTTGCCTAACGAATAATATGCGTTTAAAGTGATGGATATTTTTGCACTCCGTCATCGCTGTTCTTTAGGTCGACCATACTTTAGTTGACATGGTGTTATAGAAAAAGATTCTAAACTTAACCTATAATATATTCCTGAGTTGGTATGTTATGGAGTTAATCCTTATAAGACTGTCTAGAATAACAGTGAAAGCTATGTATAATTAAGATGACATGAATGTGTGTTTGTGTGTGTGATAAGACGATTCACCACAGAGAATAAAAATCAACAAAAAATCAATCACTTTAGATACAGGTAGCGTTCATCTGAAAAATTTGGATGACTTTGATTAGATAAAGGAACGTTCAGTCAATGGGATACCCTTTAAAAGCATTCTTCTTTTTTGTCATTCTTTTGCTCTCTAAATGGAACTTAAGGCTTTAATGCTTTGATATTTCAATAGTGATGTTGCGGTTCTCATGAGGAGTTGTTTTTCCCGCTAGACTTATCACTGACCAGTAAACATGGCGACATTTAAGAGTGTGTCGTTAGGATGTGAAACCCTGAACCACCTGGTTGATTTGAAAGAATTCTACTCAAAGTCATTCACACTCTCTTTTATTTTGAAATTAACAATTAGAAAAGGTAATTTTTAGGTAAAATGTCCTACATTTAAATCATTATTGGTGAACATTCAAATATATGGCTTGAAAAGAAGTTATACATTTTTTTTTATTTAAAATTCCTGAGAACATTTCACTCTGTTTGCCAGATATTTAATATAGTCATTTTATTAGATCATAATTATGTTTGAGCTCGCTAATTCGATGTTGCGCACAGTGAAACTGTAGGATTTACTCAATTACATTTTGAGTATTATTCATTTTTAAGAAACAATTTGTAGAGATTCAATTTGTTTTTCAAGCTTGACCATGGATTGGTATCAGTTAGAGAACAAGTTTGCGACTCATCGGCAGTGAGTACCAATGGCTCCCTGATTTTCAGTAGTCCCCCTAACTGATATCAATCCAAGGTCGAAATTGTAGTCACTAACTACAGGACTAAGTCGCCTTTACTTCTAGTGAGAAGTCGTGACCAGTGATGTCCACCAAGTTCAGAGTTAGGTCGCGTTAAAATCACGAATCAGTAGGAGATAGAAATCATTGGCCATTGGGTAATCTTCCCAGCTTTTGAATAGTCTATGAGGATTTTTGTAACTTGGAGGTCCTGGGTTCTAACCCCAGCCGGTGCGTATTACTCATTTCTCATAACAACATCACAAGCTTCCATGGAATTAAGCAAATCTCTGACATATGGTTAAGTGACTAAAAATCTCGACGCTCAGCTAAAAGCAGTGTCGCTGGTTCAGGAGTAGAATGCTGTCCAATTGAGCACATCGTCAGTGTTCGATTCTTAACTGACGCACTCCCGAATCTTACTTAGTCGACAATGAGTCCACAAAAGAGGAGAGGTTAGTTATATGGCTAGAAAATTTACCGCGTAAAAACAACACAAGTTATACTGAAACGTCAAAGCCTAAAGCTTGAAGCTACCTAAACAACTAAGAATGGAAAGGAATGAAATCAAAAAGAGAAGCTAAAAACCTGAGGAACAGTATTCGGTTCGAATCACCGTTGCTTCGAAATTCTAATTCCTGAAACCGTTCACAAAACCTGTGCCAAATACCTTGTGTGATAGTGGTGAATGGACAAAGTCAAAGCTATGAGCATCAGGTACCTCTGTACTGCGGCCATACAATGATTCACAGATCTCCTCAATATCTCACACTACCAATTCACTGTAATCCTGAGACTTTATTCATAATCTATCTGTCCAAAAATCAGTAAGCACACTCATTGACCTTACTATGTCCAGAGTAATACTCACATATGAAAATGTGTTCGTATTTCTCAATTTTTAATCTTTTCTTCTTTCGTCGATAATTTTTTTTATTTCTCAGTTAGATTTCTCGTAGTCTCAGCACAAAATTCTCCTCTCCTATTTTAATTTTTGTAAATCTCATTCTGTCTCATTCTTTTCTGAATAATTCCTCATATTAGGTAAACTATTTTCCACGTTAAAACTAGCAGTCTTCGACTATTTTTGAATAATTCCCACTTCAAGGATGAAAATTCAGTTGTACAACTATAAAGAGTGATTTATTGATAAGGAAATTCTCCTTCATGCCTATGTCTTCCTCATTTTTTTTACATATACATAGATAAGTGTTTCAGTCAACTATATAAAAGGCTCAGTTGATTTGTAAAAGGTGGGAGATATAAAAGCGGTCTACTGATGTGAATTATGGTTTCCTAATCAAAATAATCAACAATATCTTCATAAGAATTTCTTCACTTTGATTTGTCTACAAATTATAGCTAACTTATGATTCGACTAACTAAGGCAGATGAATTGTTGGCCATTGTTGCTGTTGTTGTTGTTGTTGGGACTGCCCCCATTGCTGCTGTCATAATTCCAGCCTAACGAAACTAATCGATAGAGAATTCTGACCGGAAGAGTGTTTGCAATCACTGTGTCAAATAATTTGACAAACGGAAGCTTTCATTTGAAAGGTGAATTAATTTTTTCCGAAGTTCTTTCAAGCAGAATCAGGTCTTATCGGTCTTATCGAATTGATTGGGTGTTTTTGAGTCAAATTTGTTTTTATTTTCAGTTGATTGGAGTTGTTTATAAGTTGTTACAAGGTAACTGTTGCATGACATACTTGAGGAATGCATCAGTTTCAATGAGCAGATTTGTTTATACTTTGTTCTTTCAAGTGAATCAATGCCAGAGTGTATAATGTCTTTTCAAAGAGAAACTAATGAGTTGTATTTTACGATTTGAACACAGATTGATATCAGTTAGAGGACCACTGAAAACCAGGGAGTACTGGACAGCTGTTTCATCCGCCTAGTTTGGGAATCATCGGTAGTTCACAACCACCACCAGGGTTCAAACCTAGAACCTTCCGGCTACAAGGCAAGCTGGCTCGTAAACCATTCAGCCACTGGGACCCGATTCAATGGCTATTCCATGAATTCTAACTTCTATCAATTCGTGATTTAGCGCGACCCCCAACTAATATCATTGGTAGAAAATCCATCCTCACACTTGACTAGATGGACCTCAGTGGTCACGACTTCTCACTAGAACTCCAGGAAACTCCATTCTGTAGCATTTACCAGCAAGCAACTATAGAAAATAAAATAATGATTTGTATGCTTGGAATTGACCTGTGAGAAATTCGAATTCACATAGGCTTTCTGCCCACGAAATATAACCATAATCTTCGTCGTAATCATCTCCCTTCGGGTGACTCAAACCTGTGTTCAACTGAATGCTTCACCATTAAGCATTTCAGATGACGATTGTAGGAAAGGGTGTCAGATCACATTTACATCACTGGTGTAGTCATAAACAGTCGTGTGCATTGCATTTTACATGTATTCTAGTATTAGACACTTGTAGTCAGTTAGTAAGATGCTTTGAACTAGGGAGGTAATGTTGATTAGTTATTCACACTTTTATTTTTTCATATTCTCCGAAGCAGTTTATTTTATACTGGGGGATAATTACTGAGTAAATGTTTATAGCCATATCATATAAGATTAAAAGTGAACCTCAGCTGTAGTTTTACTCACCAGTAAACTACTAAGCTGAACGTCTAACTATGCATGCATCTGAATGATGAACTTATTTTTCATTGACAATCTATAATAACTGTTGGAAGCATATAAGATAGTTGCAACGTAGTTGCATAAGTTTACTGTAACACAATCAAGCTAGAATTTGAAACGGAAATTTAGGCTGAAAG